ACGATTTCCGATTTTCGGGCGATCCGGTTCCTTTTTCACTATTTTCGAGTCGAACCGGGCGACTCCGGTTCGACTCGGCGTTTTTTAAAATGCTGGCGTAAACATAAGAGCTATAAAACAATTATTTTTACATTTATTTAAAATTAGTTTATCTAAAATTTAGAGTTTAGAAACATTAGATTCATTCAAAAAATTAGTAAAATATTTTGAAATAAAATGATAAAATAAATCAAGGGTATTTTAATCATTTTTGTTTAAAATATTTTGTAATATTTTATTTTGTTCCCCTTGTAAAAATGAACCTACATTCTAATTTTATATAAATATAATATTTAAATTAAAATAAAATAAAAAGTCGTTTTAGTAATTAGATATGACAATCTTAACGGTTTGAAAAACAATTGAAAATACAAACTTTCAATTGCATGATAATATGGCAGAAATTAGTTAAATTAAAATAAAACAATAAATATAAGTTGGAATATATCGTGAAATTTCAAATCTCCAATCAAAATAACATTAGTTATATTTAGCACAAAGAAAACTAGCAATTAGAAATTTGTCATAAGATGTCATAAATAGAACACTTTTAATATGCAGTAATTACTTATAATCATTACCATCATAGTTTTTTTTTCCAATTAATAGCTACATGAATCTATCAATATGTTGTGTTTAAAGGTCTTGTCCTCGATGACGCCATATTCATACTACTTCCAACCAATTTTTTTAGGGTCATCTCTTGTTTTTTTCAATCCTTCTACTTGAACTAACTCGCAATAAGGACTTATAATAAATATGAAAAATAATACGTGTATAATAAAGCTTGTAAATTAAAACTTTTACTAATCTACTTGAAAAAACGAGTAGATGATTGTTTTCTCCACTGAATTACCAAAAAAAAATTAAAAATTAAATCTACTTGTAGACAGCATACTAAGAAAGAATGATATAAGTTTTCAGTTCTCCTAGGACTTCTCTTTTCCTCTAATTGTACTAAAAACATCTTACTCTGGAACAAGAATTCAACCCAAAGTAGGACTTTCAATCATTTCTTAGCATTTGTGCAATTCATATCATCCTATAATTGGTTCCGTTTCGATAAATTCCCATCTAGATCAATGATCCAGAACACAAATCACCGAGTTTTAAACACTGAAAAATGTAATTAAACAATAGAAAACATACAATTAGGCATTGACACTGTATTTTTCAATATCAGACACTATTTATACAAGTCCATGTAGAAATGATTCCCAAATTAAAAATATATTTTTAAGATGGATTTTTTAACCCAATTTTCAAGGATATATAATCTCTAACATGGAGATCAGGAATATGAGAAATTAAATATATTTAAAAAATTAAATGATTTTATTAATAACACGTTTTGGACTATTAGTTTCAACTATTTTTAGATGGACCACTCATTTGCATCCATCTTTAAGATGGATGCTTTATACCTCGGGGGATGTAAATGTAGCTATGTGTCCCCCGACTCATAGAAAAAAATTCCTTCAATATAAACATGGGTGCCACCAGGATCCGGACCCATACCTGAATAGGCCCAAACCAAATATTAAAATGTGTATATTTAACTATATTTCATATATTGAGACTCGAAAAATATTACTGGACCCTGGCCAATATACTTCATATATTGGGATGCGAAAAATATTACTCGAAAAATATTATTGGACCTTGACCGTCGGGTCCAATTTTTAACCCATACCTGGATCCAGATTGGGCCTACGCTGGGTCCCAAGATCCATTGACACCCCTAAATATAGAAGGAAAAGTTTATATCTAGCCGAGGCTCTAAACAATCAAAATTGAGCCTACCTCAAAACTTTCACTAGAAGAGGTTGTTTTGATGTCCAAATATCTTCAAATTGATCGTCTTGACATCAAGATGCATGGACATGAGAAAAAAATGGATTTCAAGTTTTGGAAATAGTGTATCTTGTAATACATTTTAAGACCGTCAATTTTTAAGATTTTCAATTTTTCATAGATATGTTGATCTACACTATTTTTGAAGCTTTAAACTTTATAAATAAATATAAAAAAATATTTTTAAGGCTATCACAAAGATTTCCAGTCTTGAAACTACATTTCTCAATACTATTTGAATGTAGGCTCTAATTTGATTGTTTAGAGCCGAGGCTCTATACAAACCGCACCCAAATATAAATGGTCATTAGTTTGAGCTAGCTTCAAACATGTAGGGGGGCAGTTGGCATTCAATTAATTTTTAAGTAGGTAAGCTTCTCTTTTGTGTGAGAGATTGAAAATCTTAGCATTCCTTGTTCAACTTCAAACCAATGTCACTCTCCTAGGCCTTCATATTACCTACCCCACTACTAATGCATAAAGGCAAATTTGCGTATGCAGAAATAAAAAAATCACCAAAATAGTGGAACCTCTTAAAAACATTTAAGTTCTACAAAAGATTATAGAACTAACCAAACATCAATAATTTTTACAATATTATTTTACTTTAATACCTCCTCAAGTATTTTGCTAGAAAGTGTACCTAAATGGCCCTATATTCGATATGAATCACAACGAGAAGTCGGGGAATTCATGTCATCTGGGCCCATTTAAATGCTCAAGCCAAATGATCTATGTGTTTTACGTTTCAAATTTGAAACAGTTTTCATTAAAATTTATTATTTTGGGTTTTAAATCCGAAATTGAGTGTTTTGGCAAGCTAAATTATCAAAATACCTGTGTTCAATATCCAATCTCGAATATGGATGTTTTGGGTGTTTTCAATAAAATGCTCAGGAACTCTTGAGTAAAATAAACTTATTAAAGTATCCACTTTACAATTACTAATAGAATAATATTTGAAAATACAATCTAGTAAATTAAATCATAACAATTTTTTTAACATCACATTAATATGTTTCGTTATTAGATAATGACAGAGTCTACGTTTTCCATAGGTGTTTTTTTTTTTTTGGATAATTCAGTGGGGGATGATAAACCCCTACCCATTTTTGAATTAGTTATTGGTTTTTAAAGTTATTAGTAGGAATGAAAGCTACGAGTTAGGATTTAAGAACCTTCCAATATGCAGAAACAAGAATCCCAAAGTTGGACCTACCAAGATCGTGTACTTATCTGCCTAGAAACAAAATAAAAGAGAGCACAAGCTATAATACGACAAATAAAATATGAAAAACACATGCGATAAGGATACAAATATTTATGTCGTTCACTTCAAGAAGGCTACATCTACGGGCACGGCAAAATGAAATGCACTATACCAATAAAAGCTAAATTACAGATTTTGGGACATAGAGTTACCTCTATAACCCTCGAGAAAACCCAATCGAGTAAATCCTTTTAGACCCAGTCTCCCATCGCACCATCGTCGACCTCTCATCTATAGAGTTGCCTATATAACCCTCGACAAAACTCAATCAATTAAACCTTTTTAGACCCACTCTCCCCATCGGCACTTTCGTTGACCTCTCATCAAGTTTAGACCCAGTCTTCCTATCGGTACTTTCGTCCACCTCTCATTCCATAGTTAAACCACTGTCCAGGAAGAGACCATCTCATCTCTATTCCGTAGCTGTGGAATAATTTTCCTAAATAAAATAGGAAACTTGCACTTAAATTGACTCAAAAAGCTAAAAAAAAAGGCACATATATTAAAAAAAAATACAAAATGATACACGTCAAAAAAAATAAAGGGGACCCTTTTCGGCATAATATATAGTCGAAATTGGTTAAGTTGACCAACTCAATGATTATCTTTTTTTATAAGAGAAATAATCATATTAAAATAATCATTTCGTTTATAAATTAGTTGAATTAATTACCTCACTATTTTTTTTGGTCGTTTTAATGGTAGTTTTTTTTTTTTTAAAAAAAAAAGTTATATATCGCCTTTTTGTGCTTTCAATGATCTTTCATGTACCGTCATGCAAACCTTCATTAAAATCCAAATAAGAGAGAGATATAGAGGTGTTTTTATAAGTATATACATCTATAGAGAGAGACCTGAATGACTATTTGCTCCTAACTCCTATGCCAGAAGTTAAATAAAAGGATAAAATAGGTATTTATTAAATGAAATTGGGCTTACCCAGTTACATTAAAAATATTATTTGGTGTTAGAGCACTATAACAAGCAACTAAGACTTGTTACGTAAAATAAAATATTTGTTAAAATAAAAAATTCATATTAAATATCATATCTTACTCAACATCACTCCTATGACAACTTGGCAAAGAAGGTTTTTAATGAAATGAAAAAACAAGTTTCGTACTTTATCATTACCATCATAACTTTTTTTCAATTAATTGGGATCGACTATGCAAAACTTTATTTATTAAAGACTTACTCTCAAAAGTTTTGTACTTGTAAAACTAAAAATAAGTTTATTGAAAATAAAGAAAAGCGATTGTTGTTTTAGAAATATAAGGTGGCCTTTGTCAATTTCCAAGACCGGGGTATCTCTTAAATTCAAAGCAAGGGATCCAATTGACTAAAGCAAGAATAACTTGGTATTTTACAAGGGGCTTTTCAAAATATAGGAAAATACAAGTATATAGGCCGAATTACAAATTTACAAGTAGAATAGCTAGTGCACTATATTTTAACACATGCTTTGAACAATAAAAAATAAAAAATAAAAAATAAAAGGTATATAAACTTGTGAAAGATAATTCTTTTAATTTTTCAAAATAAACAAGTTCTAAGTAAAAAGGAAAAATATATAATGAGAATGAGTAACTATGTATAAAAAGGTGATATATCACCCTAAGTCGAGAATTGTTTCGTCGTACTATGTGGGGAGACCCCATTGTTTGTTTTTAGGGAAAATTATAAAAAACCCCTCAATATACACTATCAATGTAACTTATCCCCATCCAAATCTTTTCTCTCATTTTTTTCCCCACAACAACCTTTCTTCGCAAAAACCCCCTAAGGTAAAACGTTGTTATTTTTTGAACGGAAATGCCCTTCCTTTATAAAAAAAATCAATTGGCGCTGACTATCGGTCCTAAGTAGCGTATTGCCAGAGCGCAGTATACAACTGCCGAAGTGAATTGTCTAGAACGTACTGCCGTAGTGTGTATGTATCGAGCTCCGGAGCACTTTGAAAGGATTTCCATACGCACTGTCGGAGCGCGTTCATATAGAGTCGAAGTATTGAATACACTGCCGAAGTGTGCTATTACACTACCAGAGCGTTGTGGCTCCTGAGCCTCTATTGTCGGAGTGCCTTTATAGACTACCAGAGTGAAATGTCTCCAGAAGGTGTACCGTCGAAGCGCGGCCCCTATTACACTGCCGGAACGCTATGGCTCCGGAGCATATATTGCCGGAGCGTTCTTTGGGACTTCGGAGAGCGTCGTCTCCAAAAACTGTACTGTCGGAGCATATATTTCTACTGCCGGAGCGCGTTGGGTAAATTAAAAAATGGGAAACAAGAGAAGAAGGGCTTCTGAAAAAAATGATAGTTTAATCTTTTTTCTTATTCTTTTTGGGTGGGGGGGGTTTTTTGAAAAGAAAGGTTGTTGTGGAGAAAAAAGTGAGAAAAATATTGGATGGGGGTAAGTTGTATAGATAGTGTGTATTGGAGGGTTTTATATAATTTTCCATTGTTTTTACATCCAAATGTTTGATTTTACATCTATTTAATTTGGGGTGTTTGTGACCTTTGTGTACAAGTAGTATTGTATTGAGTCCTATCATTAATTAATATTTTTAACACGGAAAAATATATAATACGATCAGTTATCATTAGTACTGAGAGATCACACTTATTCTTAACCAGTGTCATTATTATGGGATTTAGTTGAGTTCGCTAGAACTCTACCAAGTTACTCAGCGTCACCCACGTTGCCCCACTTGGCGTACATAAAAATTTCAAAACTCACAAAAATTGTAAAAGATATTTGAATAATGTACAAAGTTTTTTTTTATATGATTTGGATGTCTGTAGCAAAGAACATTGAGTGTTTTTTGCCATAATTATTATATATATATATATATATTGATTTTTAAATATCTCAAACTATAAATGAAATTTTATAACCATATAATTTTCTTCATATTTTAAGCTTATTTAAACTTTTTAAAACTGGTTTTAATTTAATTTTACTTTTGTTACTTTTTTGTTTATTTATATTTTAGAGCTTTTAGTTTTGAGCATAACTCAGGCAAATCCACTCATACTCAATTGAGTAATACAAGTACAGTACAGGTCTGTACGGAGTGCATAACCCAAGATAATAGTTTATTAAATTTATAGTACATTATCAAATTTCACATCTCACTCTTATGGCGACTTTTTTTTGTACCGAAGATAAATGATTTTACAAATGCAAATCAAACACCTCAAGGTAGAGAGAGAAAGAGACCAAAATAGAGATAGAAAGCAAGAGCGGCAAAAAAAAAAAAGAAAAAAAA